CATTCCTGAAACAAGGTAAGTCATGATTTGAAAACGTCTTAGAAAAAAAGTGAAGTAATTTATAAACACTTTATTTGTTGAGAATAAGAGTGAGTGAAAGTACAGGCTATTTCCTGATGGATATTGGATTAAGATGTTGAATAATAAGCTACCTCTGATAGGCACAAACTCCAGTTCCTTCCTCACTAGACTCAGCAAAGGTTTGGAGTGTATCATTTTTAAATATATGAGTACCCACCTTGGGTTTAAATCCAACTTCAGTTATATTTGACCAGTCTCTTAGTGAAAGAAAGCAAGAACAGTCTAAATGTAAAATCAGACACTGAGTTTGCTCCCTGGTGTTGCTTTATTAATTTACTCTTTTCTGTTATTTTTTGCTATTTTCTGCTCTCAGAGTTGAGCTTTAGAAAAATAATTTCTGTTGCTTGCCCTGAAAGCTGGGATGTTGCTTATGCTGTGATCTACCCTCTCCCACGGTGCTGGGTGGTGGCTGTGGCTGGCACCAGGTGAAGGAGCTTCAAGTCCCTGGTCCCTTGTTTCCTGCAGTGCCCCCAGTGATTCGTGTGTACCCGGAGACGCAGGCGCAGGAGCCGGGGGTGTCGGCCAGCCTCAAGTGTCACGCCGAGGGGATCCCTAATCCCTGGATCACCTGGCTGAAGAATGGCCTGGATATCATGCCAAAACTATCCAAGCAGCTAGTGCTCCTTGGTAAGAGCAGTTGGGATTAATTAGAGTTTTGTAGATGGGGATTACTGGGGATTATGTTGCACTTTAAATTAGAAGTTCTTGTGCTTTCGCTAAGCCACCCTTGTTGGGAATCGTGTTACAAACCCCTTGTTCAGTCTTGTACCTTTTTCTCCTTTGAATTTCTCAGGAAATACAGTATTGATTGCTGTAAGTGGTAGTGGTGTTCTGCTAAAAGCCAGTGTGCCTGGTTCTCCACTGCCTTGCCTTTTGCTCATGGCTGTGCCAGTCGTAAGAGAAATATATTGAATTATTTGTTCAGGAATAAGTGCTGCATTGGATGTAAATCAGCAGAGGATCAGGCTGCAAGTCACCCATCTTCTCCCACCCACCTCTGCAGAGGGAATCAGCCTCTTAGCTCCTCTTGGTCCTTGTTCAAGTGAGGGTGCAATGAGGAAAGGCAAAAACACTTATTTGCAATTTTCTGTGAAAAAATTATGACAAATCTCTCTGCGCTCCCCCCAGTCTGGCTGCCTTGCAGCCCTCAGGGGGTGTTGGCAGCACAGAAGTCCCTGCCTGGTTGGGTGTGATATCTCAAAATCTTCCAAAGGTTTTAGGCAACAGTCCCACTCCAGAAAGCCACATGATAGGAGGAACTGGAGAGAGACCCTTCCCAAAGCTCCGGTTTTGGTGATCTGATGAAAAACAGTTTGCAAAATCAAAGTGAATTTTTCTGCACTAAGGGCAAATATTGTTTGGTTGTGTTTGTTTTTTAACAAGAAGAAAGAAATTCGATGTAATTTAGTGTTTGCACTTGGGGTTGTTCTTTGTTCACTTCTGGTGCAGAATGTGTATGGGCTAATGGGAAGAGGGAAAACATCAGCTCTCCTCAGAATGCCCCAAATACCTCTACTGATGCACAGGGAAATATTGTGGGGTGAAACCACCCTGGCAATTAAGGGCAGCAAAAGCAATTAGCAGCAGTGAGAAACACTCCTTCTGGATGTCTTTCTTCCAGCAAACGGAAGTGAACTTCATATCAGCAGCGTTCGATACGAAGACACTGGTGCCTACACCTGCATTGCCAAAAATGAGGTGGGAGTGGACGAGGACATATCTTCACTTTTCATAGAAGACTCAGCAAGAAAGACCCGTAAGCTTGATTTTCCGTATATTTCTTCCTTTGAAGAGTATTTAAATGTAATGGTATACATGCAATTTAATAGCTCAGACCATTGCATGTGGGAAGTTGTACTCAGACTTGTAAGGTAATGAGAGTTTTGTATGTGCTTTGATCAGAGGATTGGATGCTGGTTTGGGAAGGTAGAACTCCTTGTCCAGGATGATGGTGCCTTTCATCTTCCAGAAGTGTAGTGAGTGTGGTACATCTTCACTGGAGTAACAAATTGGCAATAGTTTTAGATATAAAAGAATCCAGGACCTAATCGTTTGTTGAATTATGTGTGGTTTCAGAAAATAGATTTCATTGATTTCTGTACAAGATGACTTCTTTCAAAGGCAGTTATGAGTCAAAGTTCTCAAATATTTAGGTGCTTGAAAAATGTTCTGATTGAATTATTTATTTTACCTGCATTTACATCACTAACTAGCAAACTAGATTTCCCTTGGTGTGAAATTTTCTTCCACTTCAAAGACAAATATTCTTCCAGGCAGTCTTAGCAGCGTGTCTCCCGTAGGAGTGCAGCAGTGTGATCTTGCCTGCACTGTCCCCAAAACACAATTAATGAAGGAGATGATTAGTTGCCCTAGTGGAAAAGCTCCCACGGGCCTGATCCTTCCTAATTCTTCTGTCTCAACTGCTTGGGAGATTGCCTGGGTTCATGGTGATACTAAAAGGCTAAGGAGCAAATGGGATTTTTGCTACTCTTTTGGCTGTTAATGTAGAGCAAGAATTGAAAACAAAGCCATAAATATGCACTCTTATGGAGATTCTTTGGGAAATATATTCTATTCCTTGTTAAATATATTTATGTCCTCTTGTTAATATCAGCTGTTTTCCCTTGGATACTTGAGCAGGGGAAATTACAGTATGTTGAGAAATAATTGGACGTATCTTGCACAGAAATTGAAATACAGATGTACTTTCAAAGGCTATTTGAATCCTAAAAGAGAATGTGGGTGCATGAAAATTCCAAGAAGAAATGCAGCAAAGTGAGTAGGTGCTGGAACTGCCAGTCTCGGGCTTCTGAAGGATGTCAGGTTTGCTTAGTGAACCTGTATGGAGTATCACAGCCTGTACCATGTCTCCAGATGAGTTCTGAGATAACATCTTCTCTTCAGTAAGACTTTGATCTTTGCACAGGCTAACACTGCCTTCATTTCAGGGAGGATTTCTCTCCTAGCAAGGTTTCAGAATTGTCTCTACAAGGAGCAAATGTACTTAGCAATATCTATTTTTCCTGATATTTTATTTGAATGAATGTTACAGAGTTTTCACAAATGAACCAGTTCATGTAAACATGAGTATTAATTCAGTTACTTGCTGCGATGAGAATTTTGACACTGTTTTGTTGTTTGTTTTGTTGTGTGTTTTTTTTCCTGATTATGTTCTGGCTTTCCCCATTTTCTGGTGCTGCAGTTGCAAACATACTGTGGCGAGAGGAAGGTACTGCAGTAAAGTTCTTTTGTCATAGTGATAATGTGCTTGTCTGCTTTAATAATTCCATGATGGGCCATTCTCCACTGAGTTGCCACTAACTCTATCAACTTTCACAGTTACCAGATTAAGTACAGACCAGACATTGAAAAGCTAAACAATTCAAATAAGATGTCATTCTCATCATATAAACCGTACCTATATCTTCTTATGTTTTCCCACTATCAAACAATAGATGACCATAAAATATATTAAAATGTGAATTTTCTATAAAGTGCCAGCAATGTGAGTAACCTGAGATTCTCAAGTTGTGGTAATAATTGCACAAATGTCAGAAGTGCTCCCAAATTACCATAATTGAACAAATCAGACACAAGTTCAATACACTGCATTTTTAAGCAAGTCATTCAAGCTCTCTCTCCTTAGTAGCACATATTGATGTTTACTAGGTGAGCAACAAAAATTGTCTTCTTGACTGTTAGGCAAATAAAAAACCCACAAGTTTTGCTTCCCTTAATCCTTTAAATCCATGCAGGGTAAAGGTTGCCTCATTCCTCCTTGTTTTAATTAGCAGTTAAGATCTCTAGTTTGATCAAATTTATAGCGTGCCCTGCACGAAGTCAACATCTGTGTATCTTGGAAGCCAATTTAGGAAAAAAACCCATCCTAACCAGCTAATTGACCTGAAGATATGGAGGCACTTGAAATGAAAACCTATTTCATTTTGTACATGCTTGTGCTGTCATAATTTCCAAAAGGGAAATTATGCCTCTGGAGATGTTGTGCCCAGGCACGTGGGTGAGGAGCCTCCAGGCTTCAGGCTTTCAGGGGCTGTAAGCAGGGAACCCATTCACTAGAGGAAGGTTCTTGGATTGAGGTCCAGGTTTAAACCAGTTCTTACATCTGCCACTTACATATGAGGAAGCTAGGACCCTGGTGTCCTTCCAGCCTCGTGGGGAAGTTCTCTGTGCACATCCAGACTGCTCTTGACCATGTTCCTCTGCCCACTGCCAACCCCGCTCCCTCCTGCTGCTCCTCTGGGGAGGGCTGCACACTCACTCTGCCTTTGGAAGCTTCAGGGACACTTTCATGAGTAGATCCTCCAGGTACCCCAAATGTCAATTGTGCTTCGTGCCCTTGGCTTGGAGCTTTCTTGTTTGCTGTGACTTGGCCCAGGGGATTTTAGGGGCAGAGAGAAATCCCTTGGTGCCCAGTGCTACCTTGGACTGGCAAGCAGACACCTGAGGTGTACCCACTGTCCCACCCAGGGCTGCAGATCTGTTCCTGCAGCAGATGCAGTTGGATGGAGGTCATCTGATGTGGCACAGCCAGTTCAGACAACTCTCCAGCCCTTGTTCCCAAATTGGCCACCTGCAAGTGCCTGGTGCATGGCAGTGAAGAACATCCTTCCTGTTGATGAGGCAGTAAATGGCGTTATGGGCACTAAGAATTGCAATTTCCCTTCTGCTCAGAAGTGAAATCTTGAGTGCATCTAATCAGTCCAGCATCATCTGCATGATGCTCCAGGGCTGTTTATATACTGCATCCCTTATGCTGCTTTTTAAGGAAAGTACTTGGATAACCCCACCAGATGCAGAAGGATAGTAATATTTAAAGAACAACTAAGAAGTTGGTTGCAGAAATTCTTATTGTAATTCTACTAAACAATATGGACCTACTGCTCATTGACCTTGAACATTTTAAATAAAAGTATAAGCAACATGTACAGGGAAACCATGGGCAGTAAAAGCAGATTTACTACTGATGTTCCCAAACAATTCAGCATCTTTAGAGCAGGGTTTATTCCTCTGCTGCTGTTATTGTTTGATCCACATACTCATTTTAGAGAAAGAAGCCATTAAAAGTACTTTAGCAGGTGAAAATTCAGCACAGAGAAAACTGGAAGAGATAAATGGTATTTTTGATTTTACATTTTAATGTGTTCTTTCAATTCTGTTAAAATGAAAAGCTCTGCGTAAGCAGCAGTGTCAACAAATGGCCTGGTAGGCTTGAACTCCTTCAAAATGATCACATCTCATGCCCACAGGTCTGTTGTAACTAAAGCTATTGGGAAAATGCCTTGACAGAATATTGCCTACAACAAGCTCTTGCTGCAAGTCAGTGTTTTAACACAAGCAGTTGGTCATTTTAAAAGTCAGCCTGTTCTCCAAACCCTTCACACTCCAGAAATGAGTGCACATAGCATGACCAGCCAGTTACAGATGGAACTGGGAGCACACACAGTATTTACTCAGTGTGCAAACTACTTCTTAATTTTGTACAGAGAAAAAAACTCTGATTATCCCAAATGTAAGATAGACATTTGTTTTCATGCTCTTGTTCATTTCTGCAATGAGTGTTGCTGGATAAAAGGAACATATGGTGCCAGCAGGCAATCATCATTTATACATGTATGCACTTAAAAAGCTCAGGTTTTTTGTCATCAAATTCAAGTTCTAAAATAATTCATAAAATTTAGATTAAATTGAGAACAATTATTCACGTTTCAGATCAGAGGACACTGTTCCCCAGTGACAAATTAGCCTTTTGATCTCAAAGCAGGAAATACAATGTACACTCAGATAGAGACAGTATTCCTCAGATAAAGAAAACTTCTGTTGTCATCTGGTGTCCTCCTGAAGTTTTTAAAAAATGAAGTTAGAATCTACTTTATCTGGAGTGGTTCAAATAACAACTGTTATATCCCTGTTCTTTATGAGGTTTTTGTTATATTTGGGGTTTTTATGATACAGATGGGGTATGTTGCCCTTTATAAAACCTTTAAGTTTTGAACTAGTTGTGTCATCCAACATGAAACATCATCAAATGAAGGGGAAAAAAGAAAAACCCTCCTCATTATTCCCCCCATTCCCAATGTAGTGTCTGTCTCAATAGTATAAATAACACAACTGAGCAAAATTCCCCAGTGCCTGCCTCTGTACTGAAATCATTCCCCAGACCAGGGAGTTGTGGCAGTAGAATCAAGAGTGGAGTCTGTGTTACCTGTGACCAAGAGATTGTTTAGAGATACACCTTGATGGAGGCTTGATAAATACTTCCTAACTCACAATAAAACACTTGGTTTCTCTAGTAATATCCTGATTTGTCTAAAAATCAGTGTGAAGATGACTCTCTAAAAAAGCATTTTAACTTAAGTGGGTAAACCTTTTTAAAAGAGAGTACCTGAATGTGATTAGTAATTTGAATGATATTTTAACCAGTCAGCAGGAAAGTAAAATAAGTGATGGGACTTGCCAAGTCACTAACTCTAAACCTACTGGGTAAAACCATTAGAAAAGGTTTGGGTCACTAATTAAGGCCTTAGTTGGGAAATAAACCCTCATTGTAGTAGGTTCATCAGACAAAATCACACTACTATCCTGCATGAAAATAATAATAAGCATTTTCACAACGGTCATAATTTGTTGCCTGCCTGTTTCCACTCCGTAGGATTAAAATCCTTTACTCATGACAGTATGTGCACTCATTCCAGCCAGGGTCAAACTCTGCCCTCGGATGTATTCACTCAAGTCCCACTGCAGCTGGTGGGAGTTGTGTGCATGCTGTGAGTGCTGATTTTGGTCCAAAGTGCCCTAATGAAACGTTTGAACAATATACTTGGAGGGAAAAAAGTTGCCCTTAGTCCCTAAAGACAGCTTGGCTCCTGATGGAGGTGCAGGAGCTCTTTTCCTAGTGCATGATCCCTCACTGTGACATCACCTCTCAGGATCACAGCTCCTGTGCCCACCTGGTGCCCTAACTGGGGTATTTCTGTTCTGTGGTTTAGAGAGACTCCAGCTGAATGTTGTCACTACAGCAAACACCGCCTGCACTTGAAGCCACTGATTTGGCATAAAAAGAAGGGGCTTTAACACCAAAAAAACCCCACACCAAACCCTTCAAGCCTTACTAAACACTTAGTATTTTACAATTTTTTTTAAAAAATGCCTTTCTCCAAATTATACATATTTTTTTCTGTGGAGTTCTCCTACGATGACTTAGACCTCCCTCCTGCAAACACTTAAGAGATGTGAGAAGCTCTGGAGATGTGAGCAGTGCTCTGAGCTGCCAGCTGAGGGAATCCTAACACTGATCCTTGTTCAGAGCTGTAGAACCAGGACCTTATTCCTTCATGGGTGAAATGTAAATAATTAGAAATTACAAATTATCCCATCACCATATGGTTGGCAGATAAGTACACTATCAGCATTACTGGGGGTGACAGTGGTCATTGCAAACACTTGTTGGAGGTGGTGTGAACAAGATGAAATGGTGCTTGGATCTTTCTAACTTGAGTGTGTGAAAAGATCCTGAACATTTCTTAAAGATGCTCATTCCTGCAGTTGCATGTAGCTGAAGAACAACTAAATTATCCACCTTTTAAAGCATTTCTGCATGACAGAAATGAGAAAATATGATCCCCTAACAGCAAAGCAATGACAGGCAGCCAGTTTTCCAAACCTCCTGGAATGCCCCAGCTGGATAAATGAGTGCTGTTGCAATACTGAACTACTCCACATCTGTGAAATACACTTTGCAAGATTTCAAAAATGTACTTGTTTTGGTGGCCATAGTTTGCTCATCCAGATAGTTTAAGAAAATAGATATAGATATATATTTTCATTCATGGAACAGATGTTAAGCACTTCCACTTTGTAGCTCAGTTACCTGTAAGAGGACAACCTTCAAATTAATTTTAACTAAAGCTTCTCTCTCAGTTCTTAAATTCTTGGCAAGCTATTTTAGTGAGATCATAGAAAAAACAAAATCCTAATCTGAGGGAATTAGCAATGCAATATAAGGACTTCTTGTGATTAAATCCCCCCTTAGTGCACATGCACAAGGCCTGAAGCACAAACTCTTTGCATACAACAGCCACCACCAAGGCAATGCATTTTTGAATGTGTCTGTACCTTTTCACTCCTTGAAGCCCTCGTTGTGACATGAAATTTGATTTTGTGAATGCACCAACTGCATCCAAATGACCAACTTTTATTTAAGGCAGATTTTGTTTGTTGGGGGAGGAGGGAGAAGGGTTTTTTTTGTTGTTGTTTTGGTTTGTTTGCTTGTTTTTAAAGAAAGTCCTAGAAGCTACGAATAAGTAAAAAAAAATCCTGCTTCTTTTGCTTTATCCCCCTTCAAGGCCTGAGTGTTGGGAACATGTTCTATGTCTTTTCTGATGATGGGATCACAATCCTTCAGCCGCACGAATGTGAAATCCGGAGACACATCAGGCCTGAAGAGAGGATTTTCACAAGTTCTGTAAGTCCTAGACCCAGCAGCTATTGCCAACAGCTGAGAAACTTTCTCTTAATCTCTTCAAAGACTGTCATTGCTAGAGGACCCATTTGACACAGTGATGTTGGAGCTTGGTGAGCTTTCATGTGGCATCCCTGAGGTAGATCATCTTCTCCTCTTGAAAATCAAGAGTCCCACTTAGGTTATAAGACTGACATGGAGGATTTACTGTTGTGCTGCAGAGAATTTGGCTGCAGTTATCATGTCATAATGTAGGCAAAGATGTTCACTTGTCCTGTTTGACTTCTTAACTCGAAAGTTGTAACTGGGCTGTACAGAGAGTACAAAAGTCAATAACAGGGTGATGGACACGTCCCTCCCTTGGTATAGGGAGGACTGACTTTTTTTATTCCACTCAGATACCTGGGGCTGGCATTGCTTTCCTCAAACAAGCTCTGCTGCTCTAGTCACTGTCCCCTCAGACAGGTTGTGCCATTATTTAAAGTGACCTGCCTGTTATATTGACAAGATTTAAAACCAACATTTATGAAGTATATATGTGTTTATTTTTATGCTCATTTCCTCACCATTGCCTGGTTCCAGACAAATGGTATTTCATAGAAAGCACCTTGACAGAAGGAAAAGCAATGAGGAGTAGCCAACATGCACAGGCTTGTGGGTGAGATCATGTGTGGCTCTTCTGACTTAAGGTACCAGTCAGCTCCCCCTGCAGCTCATACCAGCTTTGCACAGGACTCAGTGCGTGGTGTATCAGAGACAGAATATGGTATCAGGCAGTTGTGGACAAGATTTGGTTCCTTTTGAACAGGGAATTCTCTGTGTTGGAGCAATAAACTGTAGGACCCTACTTGCTCTGCTACAGTTTCCCTGAGCACACCATCAGAGAGCATGTTCTCCTGAACTGGAAACAAAGACAGTGAAAAATATAAAGCTGTGATTTGGTTCATGCAAATCTCTGTTTTTTCAAAGCACAGAGTGGTACTTGTGTTGCTAATAAACACTGACAGCACTGCAAGTCTTGATGAACCCCAGCGTGCCTCAAAAGACAGATCCATAGACTCTGTGGTTATTTCAATTCAGTGTGAGTTTGCAGGAGGCCCAGCTGTCCAATGTCCCTGGGCAGAGCCAGGCTGCCTGAAAAAATCATTCCTTCATATTTTCCAGGAAAGAAAGAGGAAACAAATCGTTCTAATGGAATCCCCATGGAATCTTTTTCTATGGTTTTCAAGGCTAAGCTTCTTTCTGCTCCAAGCCCTGAAATTGTAGAAATTAAACCTTTTCTCATATTGTTGTTTGTTTGGGTTGATTTGGTTTTTGGTTTCCCTCAGGAAGAGATCTGTCCTAGAGTGGAAGGGGAAGGCACTCAGTCCTGCCTCTGGGCTTCAGCAGTCAACGTCAGAGACAAGTACATTTATGTGACACAGCCTAAGCAGAACAGAGTCATGATCATTGATATCCAGACTCAGAAAGCCATGCAGGTACTGACAAGGGAAATGCTTTATTCACTGATGGCAAAAGACTCTGATATGGGACCAAAAACCCTGAGATCTTTCTCCAGTGGATTTGCTGGCATTACTAAGAAGTTGGGCTTGTGTTGTTTTCACCCATGAGGTCATGCTGTTTGTAACCTCACTGGTAGGAAGAAACTCCCTCACAGGAGTTACAGATCATCATCTCAGGACTGCATCTGCAGCCTGGCTTGCAGTTAGAGTGGTAAAATACTGCTAGAAAGAATTTCTGGCTTGTGTTTACTGAGTCATTGCCTGACCTCGCTTGTAAGCAGGTGGGAAAGAATTAGCTGGTGTGGGTATAATTCAAGCAGAAATTGGCCCCTGACCTACTGGCTGTAAGTAACAGCAGAAGATGGAGTGATGTCTAGCCAGAAAACAGCACCGAGCAGCCAGATCTTTCTGCTGCTGGTGCTGCTGCTGATCCCTCAGTTGATTGAAAGGTAACAGTGCAAAGCTGCACAACTGGGTGTTATAGTGGTGTGTGGGAACAGCCACAGGGAACTGATACAATATTTGTCATGTGCACTTGTGTCACTATGTAAACATTTATCTATGGTTTTTTTAAGTACTTGGATGTTGACCCGGTACCAACCAAATTACATTATGACAAGTCTCACGACCAAGTCTGGGTGCTCAGCTGGGGTGACATGCACAAGTCCTCACCAACACTGCAGGTAAGTCCTTACACACCTGGGCCTTTGCTCTTCCTTGGCTTGGCATTAGCAGTAGCAAGCTGATGGCTGGTTGGTTGCAGGTAATTAACAGCATTTAATGGTCCAGGTATAGAGCTGCTCTGTCTGAACAAAATTCTGTTCTTGGGTGTCAGTGGCTCCACTGGAGAAGTGCCAGGGAGTTCCCTGGAACTGCTCCATGCTCAACACCCTCAGACCCACAGTGATCTTGGAGGTTTGGACAACTGAATTAGCTTCTGTTTCTGGATTGCCCTAAAGGATTCCCTCTCCTGTTGACAGTACAGGACCACTAAGTTCAGGCATCTAATTGGCATGTTGCTGCTGCTGTGTGTCGTATGACAGAGATGACATAGACCTGATTTGATCCATCCAGACATATCCTTCTCAAGTAGTTATTTTCTGGCACTTGCTGCCCAGACTCTCTGGAAACAGGTGTCATGCCAATAATCCTTCTACTAGAAATGTTTGCTTCTGAGTCTACATTAAAGCATTCCCCAACAGGCAGAGGAGAAGGGTGGCTGTGCTTTCTGACCTAAAAACCTACAGATCTGGAGTGTATGTGATTCACTGCCCAAGGCTTTGCTAGAGATGCTGCCCCGTGAAGGTGAGATGAACCATCCCCACCAGCCACAGGCTCCAGCCAAGCTAAGAGCCGCAGCCTTGCAATAATAAGGAACAGACCAGCAACTCAACATTTTCAGGAAAAGGCACCACAAACTGAACAGAGACAAACAAATGAAGGTTTCTGAGGCAATGCCACCAGCTTGTCTCATCTGGCTGCTTCTTGTACAGCATATAAGGAGACAAAATGGGCTCTCTTTACCCTTTCTGACTTAATTTCTTCCATCCAGCTGTGAGAGGTTTCTGTAATTAAAGGAGAGATGACACAAGCATGTGATTATTAAGAAGAGCACACCATCTGCACAGTTGGAAAGTTGTTAGAAGACTCCAGCTAGCTGATAGTCCTTTCTGTTATCTTTATGAAGTGCAGTTGCACATGTAGAGAGTGAGATTAGCATCAGCATCAACAGATCTTTTCTTTTTTCTGACCTCCTTTCCCAAAAAGTGGGTGATGACTAATTTGGCAAAGTCCATTCTTAAATCCTGCAGTGGATAGTTGCAGACATGTAATAAAATATCTTTTTAAACAAAGATGCAACTGCAGAGGCTGATAAAATTTCCACTCGTTCTTTGGAAGTTGGGATTTATCAAGCAGTCCATGCAGCCAACTAATAGGATGCTGTTGTTTAGCCATTACTGGCTTCTGGGAAGCAAATATCTGGCCTCATGAAAGTACTCTGCCAGTCTGGGCATCTTTCTTGAGCAACCTAATTGAAAGAAATCTAAAAGGCATGACCAGAACAGCTGTCTGAACTAAACCTTGTAGGGTTTTAACATTTCCTTAATGAATTATGTAGCTATAAATTCAAGGCAACTACTGTTTCACATTAGAGCAGCAGAAGTTCCTAATGAACAGACTAAAGTCATCTTGAACTGAGCAAACAATATGAGTATTTAACATTTTAATTATTGAAAACTTCTACCTCTCCTTTTCTGGAGAGGTGAGGAGCTGAGCTGCTGTGGCTGTGTGTGCTGTGCTGGAGGACAGCACAGGGGGACAGCCAAAGGGCCTTTCTCCCTGAACTTTCTATGCTGTGGTCCCTGGATGAACAGTTCTTCTCCTTCAAAGTGATAATTAACTCCTGTGAGTTAGTGTTCGACCCCTCAGGCTGCTAAGTTATCGCTGTGCATTTAAGTGAGATTAATAAATATGACCATGAAATAAATTATTATTTTAGACAGTGAGGAATAAGTTACTCTGGTTTTAGTGTTGTCATCCTGCTTCAGCTCCTGCATGGCTACTCTTTCAAAAGAGATAAGCATCTTATGAAATGTGTACTTACCTTACAAATGTCAATCCTCAAATACTGTTAATTACCTTTTCAAGCCAACTACACCAAACAATATTTTGAAGTCTTTTGTCACGGTTTGACTGACATCATTAATCAGTTTGAGTCTACTACATCTCTGGGAGAAGCTGCTTGATGTCATGGATGATTATGGAATAGTATTTCCCCCCCTGCCTCCCTCACTGCTCCTCCTGTGCTCAACCTTGTGTGTGTTCCTTGTAGGTGATACCGGAGGCGAGCGCGGGGCAGGAGCAGCACGTTATCCGCGCGCCGTTTCAAGGAGTGGAGGATTTCTTTATACCACCTACAAATCTTATTATTAATCACGTTAGGTAAGAAATGATCCTAATGAATAGCAGCAGTGACCATGCTGCTCTCTCCTAGCGGGCATCCTTCTAATAATCTCACAGCACTTGACAAATGTTAATGAATGAATTTACGATGACGCTGGCTACTCTTGTCTCCGTTTTCACATGTGAAAAGGAGAAATGACTGAGCAAATGTGCTATAGTTATTTTTCAGATCAATGAAACAGCAAGAAACAAGCCCAAGCTTCCCTTAGACCACAGGCGGGCATCCTGACCTCAGCTTGGTCAGCCAGGAATTTGATGCTGCCTTCCCTCCTCAGAACAGTTTTATGGATTTTGGCAGGAACCTGTGTCAAAGACCTATTGCCTGAAGCATAAAACATGATTCTTCCATGTGTTTCCAACTATTTACTTGTTCAAATATTGGATCTCTGAGTGAGGTGTACAGTCTGAGCAGAAAAGTGACATCCACTGCATATTAAAAAACCAACTCTACAAACCCGTCAGGTTTGAATGTTAATATGATGTAGTGGTTAATGAGATGGTATAACTAACATACTAATAACTTGGAGTAACGCTGGCTGCTTCCCAGCAGGCACAGGAAGCCTCCCATTAACATTATCAACATTGATAACCTCACAGCAATTTATACTGTTCTTACCACGTTATAATATAACTGTTTAGCCTTCTTATGTCCCCAGTATAGTTTAACTAAGTTAAACACTCAAAAAATCATAGTGTAAGTCCTTACTTTGATCTTGGGTTCCCTGTAGTGAACTCTGAGGACAGCGGAAGGTCACAGCTAAATGATGATGTCTTGAATCTGATCCAAAATAAATAGCTTGGCTTCCTGAAACACAGAATGATAAGACATACTTTGTGGCTGTCATTCTTAATTTTTCCCTACTTCAGTTTTCCAGTTAGCTTTCAAAATACCATTATGAATAATAGTAGTGCCAGGAGGTAGATTACTCTGCTGAATGTTAAAGCCTGAGCTGGGCAGGTGTGGTCTGTGTCCAATGAGAGGAAGATGGAACAATTACACTCCTTTGTTTGTTTGTTTTATTGCCTTTTTTTCCTTCAGTGTGATTAATCTGCTGTACACAGATGATCTTCCATAGGAAATATTAAATTGCCTACAGTTTTCCATGCAATTTTCCGTTCTCCAAGCAGAGAGTGCTGTGACTAATTTCCTTTTTCATTTGTTCAGGGCCAGATCTTTGTCCGTTCCCTCTCGCCCTCAGCACATAAAAATTATTGCTCACAGTCTAATGAGACTTACTGAGATCATGTTCTAAATTCCCCACTCAGAAACAATAAATGGCAGTACCAGCATTTCCCAGGGAGGTGAATATTTAAGCCATCTCTTCTGCAAGCCAAAATATATTTGTATGCAAATGTTTCTGCATATGTATTTCAGCTGCCTGTTATTTCAGATGGATATCTAGGAATGTATCCTTTTTTATTAGTTCCCAGGGTAGATTGTTGTCTATTAAAAACTCTCAAAGTGCAAGGTTTTCTTTGAGATTTCAGATCACAGATTTCATGCCAGGGCTGCACTTCTTCTGCAGCTGTGTGCACATAAAATGCACTCTGACCCACTTTTTAAAACTGAAGTTTATGATAAGAACCATTTTTTAACTTCTTCAGGCATTTGGCCAAGGATATCTAGGGGGAAAAACAGGCTGTAAGGGAAAGCATTTTTTAAAGTGTACTTAAAATGCATTCAGCCAGGAGAAGTACAAGTGTCGGATCCAATTTCCCCACACGCAGTGCACTGCAAATCTCCACTGCAGATATTTTCTGAAGCCTCTAATGGATGTGAGTATAATGGGAAAATGAAAGGCTTGGCCCAGTGATTTTCATGTGATCATACACTACATTGGTTTGTTCTTTAGAAGTGAAATCATTGCTGAGTGTCTCATTGACAGATGGATTAAGAACAGAGAAATAAACCCAGTGTTTTAAGCAAAATAGGTATTATCTGCATGCAAGTACATTGCCCTCCACACCTCACAAAGCAATTCTACATCTTTCAGGGAAGAGATGCAAAACTAAGCACTTAACTTCATTTCCTTCTGTCTGCAATGAATGGATGAAAAGATACTCAGTGTAAAATTAGTTTTTGTAAGTCAGTATCAGTGACCTGTGAATACAAGGGAACACAAACAGGCTGTTTCTATGGGCTCCCTCTCAAATTAAGCAGAAACCTTTCTTGGCTATTCTTGACCTTTTCTTGTCTTCAGCAAAGGTCAGATGTGCTGCAGTATATATCTTTTACAGAACATTTATTCTCTGCTCACTGATATTTGCCCTCTCTTGAGACAGAAAGCAAAGACCCCTTTTCTGCAGTGCACCCTGGCTGGTTATGTTCCTTGAGAAATGTTTTGCACCTTTCCTGGGCTGGTGGGTTGGAGCTTAACAAAGTCTGCTCTACACCTCAGCCCTGCCAGCTCCTGCAGTGGTTCCCCAGGCACCGTGGGCAGCAGACACACGTCACAGCTGCCCTCTGTTGCTCTAATTTAAGAGATGAGCTTGGATGTGTTCTTCACTCGGTGGTTATATATAAAGTTTGAAGCTTTGCTCTGGGCCCAACCTGGCAGGGTTATGCTTTAATTTGAACAGTTTACTATTTTGAGATTTAAGAAGTGTAGAGTATATATTGAATTACATCTCCCTAGACTTGAAACAGATTAAATACAGAACTGGTCAACACTAGCCCATAAAACAGCCAAGCCTTGATATAATTTCTATTGTAAATTGGGCTTCTCAAAAGAGGCCTCAGCTCTTGAAGGTGTTATTCAAATACCTGGGCACATATTCAGGCTTCCAGGACCAGGTTGCTACTTCTAACTGAAATATATACCTCCTTTTAGCACATTTTAGAAGTACTAAAATGAGAGAGATTTCTTATAGAAAAGAGGGACCATTATTGCACGTTTCCAAAGCCACTGGGGTGGAGTTTCCCAGTTCTGCTGACTGTCATCTTTTCTCAAGCATATCACCATGTCTCCAGAGATGACTTCAGTGTCATGTTTTCTATTTCAGGTTTGGCTTCATCTTTAACAAGTCGAAATCTGCAGTTCACAAAATCGACCTAGAAACTGTGACCCACATCAAGACTATCAACTTCAAAAACTACAGCTGCGTGCCGCAGACCATGGCTTACACCCACCTGGGTGGTTACTTCTTTGTCCAGTGTAGGAGAAGCAGCTCAGTGGCTGTGACACCACAGCTCATCATTGACAGTGTCACCGATGCTGTCGTCGGCCCCAACGGCGACGTGTCGGGCACACCTCACGTCTCGCCCGACGGACGCTACTTGGTCAGTGCAGATGAAGCCACTGGCAGGATCAAAGTCCAGGCTCTGACTGTCCGAGGGGAAATCCAGTTGATTTATGACTTACAGACAAGCATACACGTATCTGATCTGACATTTCAACCCTCTTTCACTGAAGGCAATCAGTACTATATATATGCTACTTCGCATTTGCAAACAGATGTGCTTTTTGTAGAGCTGTCAACGGGGAAAATGAATGTACTGAAGAATTTAAAGGACCCTATCACATCCAAAGACTGGCCCTGGAGCAACTACAACAGAATTATGAAAGACAGTGGATTATTTGGACAGTATCTCATTACACCAGCTAAAGAGTCATTGTTTGTTATAAATGGGAGGCAAAATACGTTACGGTGTGAGGTTTCAGGTATAAGGAGGGGTAACACAATTGTCTGGGTGGGAGAGGTATGAAAGGGCAATAGCAGTAGAGCCTTCAGCAGGCAAGTACCAGTTGGACTCTGACACTGCAAGCAATGGGCAGTAGCATTGTATATTTTTACACTGGGGGGGGTGGGAGGGGAAGGAAAAAAAGAAAAAAAGAAAAAACAAAAAACCCCTGTATAGGCTTCATGGTACAACACTGGTCTACTTGCAAGTTTTATAAGGTATGCTCTGCTAATAGGAAATGGTCTTGGAGGGATGTTTTTTATTTGGGAGTATGATTTGTGGTTATGAGAAAAATGTTGGGAAGCAAATAATATCTCCACTGAGACGTGGGAGCCATGAAACCTAGTGATTCTGCAGAAGAGATTTTCAGTTCCCATGGGGAGGGGCTTTTATGTTCTGTTCAAGCCACAAGCTTTCATTCCCGTTACCTTGCCCGTGAGCTGTGCTGACCACCTCACCAACAAGGAGACACTCCAGCAGCAACCACTGCAGCTGAAATTCACCTTCAGATGATGAGGGAATCGAAGCATCAGAGAGCAGTTTTCAACCCACAGAAACCAAGGGGGGTGATTTAATGAAAACTGATCAGTTTACTCTGCAGGGTGGGATTCAGGGATGGGATCTGAGGAGGAGGAATAACAGAAATAGGAACTGTCAGCTTGCTTCCCTCTGCACCTCATTGTACTCTTGGTACTACTGAAGGCAATGTGATGAGTCCCCCTCTTCTTCTAATGCACGTTTATGTGATTTTATTTGAAAAATTTGGCATGAAATATCCAGGCCACTAGAGGAGGTAAAAGCTGGGAAACACCGGGGGGTGTGGGTGTGCTTTCAGCAGCCTGTGAGTGTGGTCAGCTTGGGCAAAATATGCAAAATCTGTTTTTCAGGGGCAAAGAATTAATTACCTTTATTCCCATAGGAAGCAGCAACACTTCTAGAAACTGTTGGTTTCTCTCAAGAAATATTTAGTAGCACTGAAGTTACTTTTTTTTTTAAAATAATACCTACAATGACAGAAGGTATTTTTAAAAGGAAACTCACTCATTTTCAGTCATGGCCTTAATTTGCCTATTTCTTTTCAGACATCCCAGGAAACATTTTTTTCTTTGTGCTTTTCCCTTCCCATTTACAGAAACTTGTTTATAGTCAATTATCTTTTAGTTATGAGCAAAGAGATTGATGTAAAACCAGCTGGATTACCCTAGAATGCAACAGCTGGCATGGAGAAATTTCAGTTGAGCTCCCATAAAAATATAGATCCACTTGCACTTTTGGAAGATAGAAAAACTTACCTGTTTGAGTTTTTGTAACTTTCTGTACCCATCAGCATGAAGCAACCAGGGCAAGAGCATCTATGGCTGCCAGGTGGCATCTATCACTGCCACCGTGGACAGGCGCATCCAAGAGGTTGTGTCCCATGGGATGCTTTGCAAATGGGGTCTCAAGGTGGGTGAAAAATCTCTCTGAAGGTAGAAATCTGTTTCCTCAGAGCCACTTATCAGCCTTTGGAGGGACCCAGCTTGTTTTGTGAATGATCTTGCTGCCCAGCATTTGTAGGGAAGCAGCTGCTGGACAAATCCGGTGACGTCTAGTGGAGCTGCAATGATTTTCCAGCATGGATGCTCAAAGTCACCCTTTTCACAAAGCACACAGAGGGATTTTAAAGGAGAAGGATGCAGACTAGCACCAGTAATCTTTGCTTTAAATGTTAAACTTTACCAAAAGGGTAGCATTTTAGCATGGTCGTAGACCTGAAGTAATTGAAACCATTTTTGGTTCTCTAGCGAATACATAAAAATCTGTCCAGACAGACGGAGAAGGGGAGCTGAATCCTATGAATTCATTAAACACGGAGTCCTTGAAATTGCCCTTCAATACCCAGAGGCTGAAACCTCCATCTCTTTTCACTTATGAGCCATAGGGGTTAGAAGAGACTATCCCATCATTGCAACACAGACATAGAAACCAGATTGGCGTAGCCTTCCCCTAGCAATGCATGGTGTCCATCGTTTCAACTCATCTGGTTAGGAAACATAACCCATGTCGAGGAAAGGAGAAGACCAGCTTTGTAAGTACCTTTAAATATGCACAACTCCTTTCTTGAACAAGCCTGTAACCATACATTGCAGTCATCCTAAATGTGTTTTACCAAGGCCAAACAATGTTCTCGTGTTCTCTTTTATGACTTCTTGAATCTTTTATTATGCCTATGGTAAGTTTCCCTGTAGAGACGTTCATGGTGTCATAGATCAAGCAAATCTTACTTTTTTAAGAATATTTAAAAAAGCAAAACAAAACTGTATGTATCTGTTCAGGTAAATATTCTTGAGGCTGGTTTATATATAGGCTGTGAACGATGTGTAACAGACCTCACTTCTTCCTGTTTGTCTCAAAATATTGGAATAGTGTTCACTTGAAAACTCCCATTTGGACTTTCCAAAGATGTTCCCTTTCTTCCCTCTTCAGCCCAAGTTCTGGTGATGTGTTTTCTAAATTATCCTACTGGTTATCTATCATACTTAGAAAATGAAGTACAACTTAGATTGTCCACACGACTTGTGAACAGTTCCAATGACAGTCAAATCTGACATTAAAGTGCTGCACATTTGTTACTCTGATTTTATTTTTGTTACGACACAGAAATTTTATATATATTCAAGAAATGTTTCAACTCTTTTTTGCTTTTCAGCTCTGTCAAAAAGAGAGACCACATTCCCTTGTTTGCAGTTTCTTTCCCCCTCCCTTTGTGTTCCCCACCAATTCATGATTCATTCCTAGCTAATAAATTAATTAATCACAGTGATTAATTGAAATGAATTTAAATGGAATTAATGAGCATTTAGTTATCCTATAACACTCATAAATCAATTGGGTGTTCTGATGCTGGAATCACGGAATTAATAGTCCCTGGTTGGCAATAAGACCCCAGTCCCATGATGGGCTGTATTTCCCTTTGCTTATGCAGGTTAAGCAGCAGTAGAATGGAAATACTTTCTGTCTTAGTATTTCCCTCAATATTTTCACTTTCTCAATGAATGACAGATTTACTTAACATCTTTAACTATGCAGTTCAGTGACTAGAAACCATCCACTTTTAAATTGGAAAGAAATCCAGTGCCTTAATTTGAAATCAGTGACAATAATTGATGTGTTCTTATAATTTAATACTTTGTTTTTTTATCTTTTTTTATTGCTAAAAAAATGTCACCACAAGTCCCACAAGATTTCAGTGGGCAGCAGTGGGGGGGAGATGGGAAGCTGGCTGTGGGATGCCTCTGGCCAAGGGACTCCTTGGAGAAGCCTTCTCCCACTCTAATGGAATTTGGCCCTTTGGCTGTGGTGACCTCCTTGGCTTTGCCTGAGAGACACATGAGTCCTGATGACTCGTTGACAAGTATTTCTTTACTTGATTTATGCCATAATTAGGTTTTAATTACTAGAGTGCCCAGTAGTGTGCTAGGTGCTGCCTGAACCAGATAAGAAGGCCAAGATATCAGTTATGTGAGGAGGTAGCAGCTAATTCCCCATATGACCCTACAGCAGGTCAACAAAATGAACAGGGAAGAGGGAACTGAGGCTGGGGGAGAATTAAGAGTCGACATGTGCAATAACCTGCTTATTCAGCAAAGGTTCAAGCATGCCATGCTGCTGGTATATCTTTTTCCATAAAGCCCCCTTTGTCTGTCCCCGTTCAGGGCTTTAAGCCAACACCCAGGGGTTTTCCCTGTCTCGTGCTTGTCCTAGGACTCTCCACCTCATGTGTGGATAATTTCTCCCTTAGAAAACCTGGGGCTAAACCCCACTTACCCTAAGCAGTGTGTCCCACTGCCTGGGGCAGTGCTGGATTGCAGCTCCCACTCTGCCTCTCCTCTGAAACTTGCGTTTGCTGCCCAGCTCACTCCTTTATACATTTTCTCTTGGACTAACCAAGCAAACCCCCAAAAAAACTGTATTTTAACACTCGTTTCTAAAAATGAACTAGCAAGGCTATGAGGACTTTTTAAATGACCCTGAAATCAGAGAAGAGAGGCAGTCAGGCATCAGGCTCACCTGGGCTGTGCTGCCAGGGATGAAGGGGCTGCAAGCAGTCCTTAGAGTTTTTATTACATGCAAGGCAAGCTGGCTATTGTAGCCCAGGCTAATTCATTTGCCAAAACACCTTAGCTGCTGAAATCCCAGGGTTGCCCAGCATGACAAGATGGGATTTAAAGCCCAAACAGGCAGAGCAGGATGGTTTAAGCATGGCCATTGTTATGATTTTGGCCTCATCTCTCTGCACCAGCTGAGGTGATGCCCATGCTCAGTTCAGCATGAAACATCAGCTCTGCAGAGTCCAGGAGAAAATGATGCCTTCACACTGTGCTGTCCATGACCCTCACACAGGGCACTCAGGTGACTTACAGTCCTCCCAGACACAACTGGCTAGTAAAGAAGCTCTGTTTTCCTTTGGCTTTGTTATTTTCCTGGTATTATTTATCCCTCATTGTAAGAATAAAATAGAATTCCTGAAAACGGGATGAAAATACATCCTAGTAGCACAGAACTCAAAGGTGGCCAAGGCTTTCACATGTCTAACCTTAAATTAGGTCATGTTTTTCAAATGCCTGTAGCTGTAAGACAAAAAACAAGACCCAAAACAAATCATCGTTATTTTTTTTAACCAGTCCCCAATTTGAACTTCAACAAAAACAAGAGAAAACACTGATTGTGATGTTGTGATGTTTCTACCATGCAAATTGCCACTGCCTGGAGGCTTGTTTAATTAAGCACTTCAGCATCTAACCCTTGGCAGTCTGTGGTGTCTTTGCCACTTGTCCAAAGCCATCAGCTAAGGGCAGCAAGCCCAGCAGAGAGCAGGAACCAGCTGTGCCTGGAAAACAAGACAAGCACTACCTCAGACAAGCAGCCCAGCCCCGTTTGCAAAGGTCAGAGCACTGGCATTACCAGGAATAAAACTCCAACTGCCTGATTAGCAAAGCTTCCTCCCCACAGCAGCATGGGCCAGATGCTGGGCATGGCTCGGTGGCCATGTCACCCTCTGAGCCATCAGGTGCCTGACCCAAGAGTCAACCACTTTCCAGTTTGAATTGCAGCAAGAGGGTGCAAGAACTGCCT